CAAATTTGATATAATTATCGCGGAAGCATTGCGCCGTCTTGGAACAACGTTATATGGAAATTGTACTAATCGTATATATAGATTTCTTTTGCCACATTTACAATATCATTACAAAGTAGATTAAACGATAAATTGAGAAATCATATCATATACATATTTTAAACTATTCATTTCGTTAATGAATGATACACTGAAAATAACTATTCAATAGTAGAAATACCAATGTTTCTTACTCACTAAAAGAGCGACATAAATTATTAAAATAAAAGAAAATTTTTAAAAATAAAATCTAAATATTGTACTAATAAAAAAACATGATTATTAAAAAGTAAAAAAAATTTCGGACTCCTATTTCTGACACAAGAAACTTTTTACGCTTAGATTAATACTATAGTATTAATCTGAAAAATAAAAATGATCGATAACGACTGCTCGGTACTTCTAGTGTTAAATAACGTCGCTCTGTCAAGGATTTCTTCTTATATTTAAATGAAATTTTTAAGAGTCTGTTTCTCTTTTTAGTTCTTTAGATATACTCTTTGAAATATTGCAAATTGTAAACATATTATATACGTGTTATTCATGGAAATAATTAAAAAAAATATTATGATTAATTTTCATATATTCATACATTCATCTCAATGTGAGAACTTATTCGTCATAGCAGCGAGTGACGAATGCATTGGATACTGCTATTATAATCGTAATCAGTTTTTTTCTACCATACGTTATTTCCATGTTTATTCTAATTGCCGTAGATTTTATAAAAATTTCTTAAAATATTCATAAAATAGATGAATTCTAATACAGCCAATCGTTAGACTTCATTAACGATTAGTTCTAGAGGAATGGATGATTTTGCAATGCATAAACGATTATCGCAATCGTATTAAATCGCTGATGGATTTCAGCAGAAATGCTAATACGATTATATAGTCGCGTATAAGAGCCTTTCTATGTTGAACTAGGATCATTGATGGATATCGCAAGCTTTACCCATCAACTTAAGAAAATGAAGATACTTCTCTCCACAGGTTTTTTTAAGGTTTAAAATTTATTTCTTCTAAAATTTTTCGATATTATACTTATATAATTGCCGCTTTTGCTTGGTAGATTTTCATTATTTAAAATCTCGTAATGCAATACAGGATTATTATTGATACAGGATTATTATTGAATTGGTAGATATGAATGTAATTTAATTTATAAATTTTTAATGTATTAAGAATCTCTAGAGTTACAAGTGCAATGTTCAAACTGGTTTTCGCGTGGAATATAGGCAGAAGGCGAAGTGGAAGAAACGAGAGAGAGAGAGAGAGAGAGAGAGATGGGAAATACTTTCCTTAGGGATCCACATCTAGCATCCTCAAGGTTTTGCAAACTGAAACCTCATCCGTTCGTCCGTACGATAACTTAGCAAATAGCTATATACGAGTAGATGCTATGCATCCTCGCCCCGGGACTCATCGCGTCCGACTCTAATTGCTGGGGATTTTGTGGACGTGTGCATGTGGACGGCACCATGTGAGGGAATTAAACAGAAATCGAGGAATTTCGCATCACGATGTGTGTGCGAAGCGAGAAGTCGATATCGACGCCCGCTTTTGTCCCATTCGCCGTAAGCTGCGCGTCAACTGCCTTTATACCACCCACGCGATGCAGTAACTCGCACTTTGCGGTGAAAGCACCATAGAGGAGAACGTGCGAAGACACGTCGTGTCACTACGTACGTCCAATGATTACGCGATGACGCAGACCGATTATGAATCCGAAACGAGTGGAATAGCTTATCCTTTGAAAACGACGGAGCGCAGCATCATTGTAGTGGTTTTCATACAAAATTTACTTCTAAGTAAATCATAGAGATTCGTCAAAGAGATAGAGATTCGCCAAAGAGGTAAAGATTCGTCAGACAGAGATTCGTCAAAGAGATAATATCAATCACAAACTCGTCAAGCCAGAAAATATTTTTAAAACTACCGCAAGGCAATTCATTAAATAAAATATCGAATAAAAAGAAAAATTGTTCATTCAGGAAATGAAATTTGGAAAAAAATATCAATAACATTTTTCATTAATAATATTAATAATGTTAATATCAATTTTTAAAATATAAAAATTTATTTAGATTTGCTTTCTGTATCTATCATATGATGGGAACATCATGCACAGAGCACTCTAAACGGAGTGCTCTTGTCGTTAAATTCGCTTACCCTTTGTCAAAGTACGATAAAATCAATACGATCTACTCTACTGCCCTTCTAATCATTCCGGATAACCTCGACATCTCTACTGGAAAACAAAGCAAGGGACTTTTTGTTTCCAAAGCATTCTATATGTATGCAACGAAGGGTATTATTCTCTACAGTTTCCCGATATCATGCATTATTTATTAGGAATCACTTCTCTTTGATCTCAGAATTAGGTAAAGATTTAAAGCTAAAAACAATCGTACCATACCTTTACAAACGCAATTGCTCTACAATTACTTATAAAAAACGATGAAATTATTTTAAGAAGAATTACAAATCTATATATTTTATATTATAATAACAAATTATGTATGACATGTATATATATATGTATATACAGAATGTTCCAAAATTCGCACATTCGGAACTTTATGCTAAAACAAACAACTTTTTCCTTTTGCGTCTGACAAGTAGGTTTAGCAGGAGAGCAGGTTGAAGTTATAGTATACTCATATATATAACATATATATATATA